GGCCGGCTGTCCCTCCTCTTCGTCCTCCCCGTCGGGGAACTCCCATTGCGACTCTCCTGAGCGCTCGTTAACATAGAAATAGCGTCTATGCTCCCTAAATCACAAGAAAGAGAAGGAGGCTTTAGATTCCCTCCCCCGCCACCGACACTCCGAGGCGGGCCTGCCCGCGACAGCGGTGCGCTCTCGCAGGGAAGACCCTCCGCAGCAGGGCTGCCGCTCTCCCAAACGCAAACAAACAACTTTGAGGACAGAGGCAGGAGAGGCCCGAGCCGGCTCGCTCAAAGCTATTTGCGTTGCTGGCTGCGTGAACGTCGCCCTGAGCCCCCCGCTCCGAGGGAGGGGAGGGCTGAGAAAGCAGGCCAGCGCGCAGCAGAGCGACGTCTCGCTAGCATCGGGACTTTCAGCCGCCGCCTTGGCTGAAAGTCGCCCTCCAAGAAGAGGCACCGGGGAACAGCCCAATGGAGAGAAGCGGCTGCCCCCCTACCCCGTGGTGCGCGGAGGTCGCTTTTAAGATACTCTTGGTGTCAAACACACAGTGAATGCTAGAGAGAGGGAGCGGATCTGGGAGCTGAAAAACAAAAGAGCAAAGATTTCAAACAAAGGAAAATTAATCAAGAAAGCCAAATAGACAAAGAAATGTTTGGGTCTGACCTGCTGGCAGGAGACAGAAATCTTGTTCTTCGTTCCGTCGATGAGTTGAAGTTTGTCCTTTGTCAGAGCTGTTGGTCAGAAGAGGTGATCCAGAGATCCTGCAAAGTTCACAGAGCTCTCGCATGCGCGACCCCCCAGGCCCGCCCTCCACAGCGCTTTACACTCGCGAGAGTGAAAACCAGCTCTGTCCGATCAGGGAATCAGCTCCGTCTCAAAGCACTGAGCACTCCGTTTGGATCCTCCAGTTTGGTGGCTGGCCCAAACTCTGCGAGTGCCGGACGTTTCTCTGCCTGCCCAGCACTGCTAACAGAAGCTGCTCTCAGTCTCCGAGAGGGACGGCGCCACGTCGTCGGGTGGTGATGGTCACAAATCATGTCTGAGATGTCAGAGATGAAAGGTGAGAAAGGTAGGAGAGCGCGTACCTGTCCCAGTGGCAGGACCAGCCTTTAGGGGTGGCGTTTATTTCGTATTGTTTTAGCTGTTCGGCTGCGTCTTGGAGTTTGCGTTTGAGGTAGTTTCCATTGAGAGCACCTTCTCGCCAGTCTGCAATGCGGGTCTAGAGGGCAAGAACCGGGGGAAGCCGTTGAGGGAGGCTGCAAGCGGCCCTGGGGACAGGACTCGAGGTCCGGGAGGTTCCCTTACGGCACGGGACTCAGGGGGGCCAGGAGGAAGACACCGCCTCCGCGCAAAGCCATGCTCGCCCCCCGCGGAGGAAGGGCCCTGCAGGAGGCGGGCGGGCGGGCGCGCGGCGCGGTGCGGTGCCACCGCGGCCACGAGGTTCACGCAGCACCGGCCCTCGGCGCTCGAGGACAGTATTTGATCCGCTTCGGAACAGAAGGCCGGAGCGAGGGGCGAAGGCTCGGTTACCTCTGTCTGCAACAGCAACATGTGGAAGTTGGAGATAGATTGTCTGTTGATGCCCAGGAACTCCAATTTACTAGTCAGAGTATTTGCCAGCTCTCCGATCTGAAACTGCCAGGGAGAAAGGGGAAGAGTAAAGAGCCGCCCTCGGGTAGCGTCACCGGGCTGCTGCGGCCCCGCAGCTCGAGGCCTTCCCCGGCAAACAGGACCCGGGACCGCCCGCGGCCCCTCAGCCTGGCGGGACTGGGACGTGCCACCCTGAACGTGTGCGCCTGTCACCCCCTCCTTTCAGCCCCGCTATCTCCTGCGCCCCAGGGACGGGGTCGGTGTGGGGTGGCAGGACGAGACCTCCTCTGTAGCCGCGGGAGGTGCCAGCGAACCCCAACTCCTTCGTGCGGACCCTTCCCTACTCCCAGCCGCAGCCCCCAGCGCTTCTCAGCGCGGTCACCGCTCCGAACCAGCCGAAGGAGGGTACGGGCTCGGTCTGCTTCGGCGCCCCAGCTCTGGAGTTACAGCAGAGCAATCGCCAGGGCAGAAAGCGTTAAATACGCTACTTCATTTCCCAAAGGAAATGGGCCAGGATGTAATTTCGGACTTCGTAAATCGTTGCTTTCCAGAGGAACTAGCTGGAAAGCGCGGGAGAGGTAACAGCTCTAGATTTACTCCCGAGCAGAGACAGTATCTACGTTAAGTTTCAGGTCAGCCCACAGCAACCACCGTTACTCAACCCCAGCGTCCCACAGGAGTCAAACCTCCAGTTCGGGCGCTGCGTGGGGGACGCGGGGATCCCCCGTGTCAATCCCCCTGACTGAGGGGACTGCATGAAAGCAGCTACAAGCCAGACAGCAATCAAGAGCAGAAACGGGGTGGACGCCTGCAAGCGGCATCGCGATTGCTTTAAGGAGGGCTCTGAAAATTTTTCTTTTCTCCTTGGCTCTTCGGAAGAGGCTTTGGAAGGTCCCCAAAGCCGACAGCGCAGCGTCTGTCTCCAGAGAGGGGGACGGGCCGGACAGACAAGCAACGCTAGAGAAGCCCGAGGCAGGGAAATGAATTCCCGCGTTAACGTGGCTACGGAGAAGCCAGGGAAGATCCCACAGCAGAGGGTGACTTCGCAGCGGAGGACCCGGCGGATCTCCTGCAAACCAGAGAGCCGGCAGAAGAGTGATTACCCCGAACCGATGAAGCAAACGGTACCGATTACCCGAGGAGACGGCATTCCTCCAACAGCTCTAAAGGGATCCTGCATGGGAAAGCACCACGCTACAGCACACAGTCCGTCACAGAGCACCGCCAGTACCAGGAGAAAAGGGGACAGCAAACGTGACAGCTTAAAAGGCTTTCGGCAGCCACCTGGGGCACAGCAGCCAACGAGCGTGGTCCCGCTGCAGGCTTTTTTTCCTTTTTTTTTTTAATAAATTAAATTTAAAAAAAAAATCAGACAAGCCTCATGTAGACGCCGTACTGAGGGAGGGCTCAGTGGTTTGGGGCAGGGAACATCACATCTCAAAACTCTGCTGGAGTTCTTTTATGGGAGATGCTAAATCTGTCACGAGGACAATAACGAAGCCCTTCCCTTTCACACTGGAAAAATGATTAAGTGGTGGGAAATGAGGGCAGGACCAGAGGTCGGCTTTCGCTGAAGGTTTCCACCGGGGTTCTACCACGAGCTGGCGATTCCCCATCCGTAAACCATCTGGCACAGGGAGGTGACGACATTTGCTAACGAAACGAAATTACTCAGGAGCCAAATTTAACGCTGCAGGAGATCTCAGGGTGACGAGCGACCGGGGAATCAAAAGGACAAATAGAAAAGATCTCCCCTACCACTCTGCGTAACTATCACCCAGAGGCTGTAGCTCCGCCTGTCGCTACTACGGCTCAGGAAGGGGCTCCGGGAATCGTTCAGCCGCAGCCAAAAAGAGCAAACCAAGGCTCGGAAGAGAAAACAGCAGCACGATGCTGCCGAAATGCCCAGGGCTTCCCCAATTTGCATCTAACGACTTCAAAAAGTCACGCCAGGCGAAGGGCGGCGCGACAGGTACCGGCAGCCTCCAGACACAGAGAGATTACGGACGAGGAGTCTTCAGCCTGGAAACGGGACGACTGAACGGGCACGTGCCAGGGGACTGCAATATCGTTATTGGTGAAAAGAAAGTCAAGACAAAAGCGTTTGCTCTCTCTCACAACCAGACCCAGGGCTCAGTCTTTATCCTCCCTCCCCCCCCCCCTTTATTTTTATTTTATTGGGTTTTTTTAAACACTTTCAAGCCTTTGCTGCTGGTTCCTGCTGAGACAGGACACAGGGCTGCAGAGATGCTGGCCCAATCCTGCACGGCCGTTCTTTCACAAGGCCAGGGCACGCTGCTCTTGCAGCCGCACCGGGATCTGAGGTTTAGAGCTTCAGCGGGGGTTCGGTGCCGTCCCGCCGGCAGCGCGGGAGGCAGACAAGGTCGCTCCAGCTGGGCCAAACCCACAGCCCAAAGCTCAGGTGTCCCCGCCGGCTGGTGGCGTCCCCTGGGCAGAGGCGGCCAAGGCAGCCAGCACGTCCCTCCGCGCTGCCGGCGGGACGCACGGCGAGCCCCTGGGAGAGCAGCGAACCGGCCAGGGCCTGGGGGAGCGGCCGAGCGCTGGGACGGATCTCACCGACGCGCAGCTCTGCATCTACGTACCTTTAGGTCCTGCTCCTCCTCTTCTATTTTCGGTGCCCCTTGTGCTTTTGCTTTCTCCTGGGGCTCCTCAGACTCTGCCTCTTTGTCTGAATTTGCATCGGCTGCTTCTGTGCTCGCCGCTGCGGGAGAAGAAACGACAGGTGAGCCCTTCTCCCAGCACCGCCACGGCGCTGCCAACAGCCGGCTGGAGACACCGTGCCAGGGAGCCAAAGCCGCTGCAGGAGAGGGCAGGGAAAGAGCCGGGGCCTCTTTCCTACAGGAGCCAGCGACAAGAGCCTGAAATTAAAAAGGAGAGAGGGTCACTGCCTCTGTGTTTTGATGCTGGGGGTCCTTCCAGAAGGACGGCACGGGAAGCGGAGAATTACAGCTGCTACAGCACCAGGGCAGGAAGGAGGAACAGCCTGGAGCACAGGGGTTCGAGGAAGCGCGAAGAGAGCTAGCCGCCAGGCAGGCTGTCATTAAACTCCGGGGGTTTAACATGAGGAAAAATGTCTTTACTGAAAGAGTGGTTAAACGTTGGAACAGGCTGCCCAGGGAAGCGGTTGAGTCCCCATCCCTGGAAGTATTTAAGAGACGTGTAGATGAGGCGCTCAGGGACATGGTTTAGTGGGCATGGGGGTGTTGTGTCGACGGTTGGACTCGATGACCTTAGAGGTCTTTTCCAACCTTCATGATTCTATGAACTATGAACTTCTAAGCAACAATTAGTCAAGAAAAGGTATCGATGATTAAGTTGAGACAATTGTCAAAGACCGAAAGGCTCCCAAAAAGTTGTCGAGACCGTAAGGTTTCGCCTCCGCCGCATCACAGGACAGCGGTGACTAATTCACTGTCCCAGCGACAAATTCTAAGGAGGGAAGTTTTGCGAGGGACTCCTACCAAAAGCCCTCAGGGGGGGGAAAAAACCCCAAAACCCAAACGCATTCCTGGTGTGCCCTGGCGCTCAAGGGCAGGACAGTTCCCTCAATCACCCTCCAGCAGCAGGGCGCTCAACTTTCAACGGGTTATTTTAGAGCAACAGCTTCCTGTTCCCCAGGTTAAGTGGGAAACCAGCACTGCTGGGAGGAGCTGGCTCCAGGGACGTTCCGCTCGCGAGGCACAAGGAAAAGGCCCTCAGCAAAACCAGCCCTCAGAGCCACCCCGGACAAATGACGTCGCCGGCTTAACGCCAGGCCTGCCATCCCGATCACGCCTCTGCCTGAAGCAGACGCCGCGTTAGGGCCGCCATCAATCCCGTTTTGGGGCAGGCGCTGTCTCCAGCAGGACGCAGCCCGCTCCGGGCACCTTTGTACCATTTTTTTCCCTGGGAAAAGCAGTTGTGTCTCATTCGGCCGGCTTTCTGCGCCAGAGGGGCTGCCTCCCTCTTTGCCACGAGGCAGGCAGCTGGCCTGAAGCCTCGTGCCGGGGAGAGGACCGGCCCATCTGGGAGTCGGGGCTGCCAGGCACGGGCTGTTCTCTCAAAACGCTGCGGCCAGCGCGTTTCGGGGAGTGCAGCTCTGGAGGGGCTGGGGAGGGCAGGAGGGTCGGTACAGGCAGCGAGGCACGGGGTGGTAGGGGGGGCGCG